CCCCTTCTCACCCCACCACCTCACCCACACACACCCCCAAACACCTACACAAAAAATGATCTGGGACTGGCGGCGGCTTTCAAGGGGTGCTGGGGATCCAGGGTGACACAAAGCAGGTAGAACTCACAGGCTCTCACCCACATGCGCGCGATTTCATGACTGTGGACTGTGGCGAATGCTGTCCACCGGGCTGGAACCCATTTTTTGTTGTTGTTGTTGTTAGGTCCCATCAAGTCCTTACCGACTCACAGCAACCCTATGCACAAAGGAACAGAACACTACCTGGTCCTGGGCCAACCTCACAATCGTTGCCACACTTGAGCCCATTGATGCTGCCACTTTGCTAATCCATCTCGCTGGGGGTCTTCCTCTTTTTCTCATTCTTGGTAGCTTTTAAAGGATTCTCAAAGAGTCTGACCCCCCCCCCCCACAAAGGTTAAGTTGTATGGGAGAGGAGGAGTGGGCTTTACCTGACCCATCCACCACTCAGTAAAGGAGTAGGAGGGAAAAGGAGGAAAATCCCAGACTCCGTGGGGATTTTTATGTATGGTTTTGATCCAAACGGGTAAACTGCCCAGTTCACTCTGACCTGTGTACTCATTAAATCATTTAATTTTCCACCACAGATTCACAGAATCTTCAAAATATAGAATTTTATAAATATACTATTAGAATAAAATATGCATAGAATAGAATTTTCGTGTCCTTTGTTCATGAAGATCATAGAATCCTGATCTTGGAACTTCTGGTACCAGGATGCTAAGATCTGTGGTCACCCTCACTGTAGCAGTAAAGTTTTGAGAAAAAGGAATCTGAATTCTAGAAGAAATGAGTCAAAAACACCAGATACAGAGAACTAAGAAATCCTGTGATTTGGAGAATTTTAACTATAGTCACTGCATCTTAAAAGTGATGAGACTGATTATTGAAGTATATGGTTCTGAATATTAGTATCAAATTCTTCAAGTTTACAGTATCCAGTACTAACATTTTTAAATTAAAGAAGACAGTTGATGATTTATAGACCCTGGGTTTTCCATTCAGGAATTCCTAAACAGAAATGTAGGCTAAATAATATAAATCTTAGAACTGGGGAAAAAAAATAAACTAAACTAAACTGAAAAGTACAAGCTTCCAGAAGAGGCATCAGATTTTTCAGGTGCAAAATCTTAAACTCAGTATCTTAAAATATGATGAGTAGGCTTTCAGATTTTCACCACCAGAAACTTAAAGTCATAGAAATACATATAACTTTAGAATCATGGTTATGGAATCTTAGAATTACAGAATCATATTTGAAATTGATGTTAGGTTAATGGTTTCAGAATTTAAAATCTGGAAATCCGTATGTCAGAATCTTGGAAATACAAAGAACCACAGAACCCCCACTTTAAAAGATCCTGGTGTAGTGCTGTGGAATAGGCATTGGACTGCTAATCACAAGGTCAGCGGTTCAAACCCCAACAGCTGTCTTGGAAAACCCAACTTGCTATGAGTCTCGGAACAGACTCAATGACTCTTAACAACAACAACAATGAATCCTGTTAAAAATGGAAGCGGTTTTTCCTAACACCACCACCTCCCTTTAGAAAAAATAAAAGAGAAGAAACCCTCAATAAAGTTCATGTCTTTGTTACTTTGGAAAAGGGTAGCTACCACTTCTGTTGACTGAGTGAAAAGCTCTCCCTGCAGTCTTTCATGCACCTTTGGCTGGGGGAGGCTGTCTCAAAAGCTGTGCCACTAATTCCACCCTCGCGTCCACAGAGCATGGATCTGGAGTCTTCGCCTCGCTCTCGCAAAAGCAACTGCCCTGTGTCTGGCAGGACTGAGCCTGCCCCAACTCATCGCCATGAAGAACATAAAAAAACCCGGAAAGTCCTGCCACTTGCTTCTGGCCACAGCCCTCTGCTTGGGAGCTCCCATTTGGCTGAGGCTTTGCTGCCTCTGGGAAAACTGAGTCCTAGCTGGGAGCCTGGTGACACAGTGGTTAGGGAGCTCCGATGGGAACCCAACGGTTAGCGTTCAAACTCACCAGCCGCTTCGCGGGAGAAAGAAGTGGCTGTCTGCCTCCCAAAAGATATATTGCCTTGGAAACGCTATGAGGCAGCTATCCCCTGCCCTATGGATAGGATCGCAGATCCACTAGATGCCAATGGATTGGGTTTGGGGTGAGGTTTTTAGTTGGGGCCGGCACTAAGGCCAGAAATCTGAAACTAGTGGGGGTCTTAGAGATCCGCACGACCCTGGTCAGTGGAGATGTGGCCACCCACAGTCTTATGGGGCACGGAAGAAAAGAATTCAGAAACCCGACAACCACTAAGCAAACAGGCCCAGTCTGCTGGCCCCTTACCCGAGACGTGTCCACCTTGCAAAGTCCCCGCCCCTCACTCCTCCGGCTTTCACGCCGTGGGTGGTCTTTGGAACCCCAAAGAAGAGTCCTTCTTGGACCGGGGAAGTTAGAGGAGGTCTCCGGGAGAGGGTTGGAGCCTTGCCAACCTCACCTGTGAGCCACTCTCCATTATGAAGAGGGGTCCACAGTCACCTACAGACAGAGTAGAGGGGTTCCCCTATATACCAAAACGTAATGATTTTTGAGATTCCAACCCTCTATAGAGCTAAGGTACTTAGGACTTAGAAAGTGGCTGCCTCAAGGCACGTCTTAAGGAAGCGCAGAGGTTTCACTAAGCGGCCAAATCTGGGTTACCTCCATTCTCCCGGGCCTAGGAATCCTTGTCTGGAAAATGAGGGGCCAGAGACAGATGGGGTGTGGGCAGGAAGTCTTGCCTGGGGTTCGAAAATCCTCCTCAAGAGCCCTTGGCAAGCAGTCTCCAAGGAGTGAACTCCTACTCCTTTCCCGTCCCCAGCCCATAACCACCAACACCCCCCACGCCCCCAAACTGCCCCTTCCCAACCGGTCCCATTCTCACCTTCTGGGGATAGAAAGCAGACCTGTCCTTCCTTTTACCTGCGGGTTCAAGTCCTCGGCAGAGGCCAGAGCAGGCCCCGGAGCGCGGAGTTCGGGTGCCGAGATCTCGGGAGCTAGTTCCTGGCCTCTTCAGGCCTGTCTCCCTCTGGATCGCAGAAGGGCCAGCCCAGGGCATCTCCCAGCGCCCTACCCGCTTCGACATAGTGGGGCTCCGGCGGCACTGTCACCTGAGGAGGTGTGCCCCGGTCTCCGGGTGGGGGCGGGCAGCCGAGGGGCGGGCGGGGGCGGGCACCGCCCCAAATTTCCCCGCGCCTTTAAGGAGGAGCAGCTGGCGGAGGGAGGAGCCGGCCGGTGTGCACCCGGGAGCGCTTCGTCAGTTGTCAGGGAGTAGGCAGCGCAGCCCGGCGGCTACAGTCCCGCGGCACCTCGGCCATCCGTTCACCTGGGTCTGCTCCGGCACCTCACCGCCCTGCCTGGCCTCCCTGCCTGCCGCCAGGAGCGCAGCATGGGTGGTCCTTGCTCCATCAATCCGCGCTGGTGCTAACTATCTTCGTTTCGGCCCCAGCAGCCTCTTCCGCATGCAAGATCTCGACAGGCAACTTCAGACCTGCGGGGACCCCAAACCAGCTGCAGTGGACCGTTTCCTGGCGTATCCGGACTCGTGACCTCCTGGCACCAGTGCAAAGGACCCCATCAGCCCGCGGCGGGGGCCAGTCCCTAGCCCAGCGCCGCCGCCCCAGCCTCGAGCTCTGGAACACGAGCGGAACCGTCGAAAGTGGGTCCCTATTGTGCCTGATCTGCGGGTTTGAAGATCGCGGGCGCCTAGCCTTCTGCGTGTCTGCCTCTGCGGATGCGCTCTCCGGGTGCCGGACGCAGGGACGCAGGATCCTAGCACCTCCGTCGAGGCCACCCGCGCTCCGTGTCCCCCAGACGCACCTTCTCCCTGACCCTCGACAGCGGCGGGAACGAGGACCTCCGGGGGCGTGGGCTGGGCCCGCCATGACTGCCGAGAGCGGGCCGCCGCCGCCGCCACAACCGGAGGCACTGGCGGCCGTGAAAGAGGAGCGAGGCGAGGCGGCTGCGGGAACCGGGATCCCGGCGGAGGGCGCGGGCCGCGGTGCGGGTGGGCGACGGCGCAAGCGCCCCCTGCAGCGCGGGAAGCCTCCCTACAGCTACATCGCACTCATAGCCATGGCCATCGCGCACGCGCCCGAGCGCCGCCTCACGCTGGGTGGCATCTACAAGTTCATCACCGAACGCTTCCCCTTCTACCGCGACAACCCCAAGAAATGGCAGAACAGCATCCGCCACAACCTGACACTCAACGACTGTTTCCTCAAGATCCCACGCGAGGCCGGCCGCCCTGGCAAGGGCAACTACTGGGCGCTCGACCCTAACGCCGAAGACATGTTCGAAAGCGGCAGCTTTCTACGCCGCCGCAAGCGCTTCAAGCGCTCGGACCTCTCCACCTACCCCGCTTACATGCACGACGCAGCGGCCGCCGCAGCAGCAGCAGCCGCCGCCGCCGCCGCCATCTTCCCGGGCGCAGTGCCCACTGCGCGTCCGCCTTACCCGGGCGCTGTCTACGCGGGCTATGCGCCCCCGCCACTTGCCGCGCCGCCCCCGGTCTACTACCCGGCGGCGTCTCCGGGCCCGTGCCGCGTCTTCGGCCTGATGCCCGAGCGGCCACTCAGCCCCGAACTCGGTCCCGCGCCGTCGGGGTCCGCCGGGTCGTGCGCTTTTGCCTCGGCTGGAGGCCCCGCCACGACCACCGGCTATCAGCCCGCAGGTTGCGCTGGGACTCGACAGACCAACCCTTCGGCCTACGCGGCCGCCTACGCCGGCCCTGACGGCGCGTACCCGCAGGGTGCGGGCAGCGCGCTCTTCGCCGCAACCACCCGCCTGTCGGGGCCCGGCTCGCCCCCCGCGGGTGGCGGCGGCGGAGGCGTCGAGGCTGCGGTGGACTTCTATGGGCGCACATCACCTGCCCAGTTCGGGGCTCTAGGTCCCTGCTACAACCCTGGAGGGCAGCTGGGCGCCGGCAGTGGAGGCTCCTACCACGCTCGGCATACAGCCGCCTATCCTGGCGGGGTGGATCGGTTCGTGTCCGCCATGTGAGCCGAGGGAGGGACAAAAACTTAGAGACAACCTAGCAGTCCCCACTAACTGCTTCCCCGCGGCCTGCACAAACAGCCGAGTGAGAAGCCACGTGGAAGAGAACGAACGAGATGGAAAGGCGCAGGATCCGGGCGCAACATGAACACATCGAGCTCGATTTGTAAATGGCAGGATGTGGAACTGGCAGTCGCGACCCGACAGACTGGGACAGGGGACACTCGGTGGGGCGGATTCCCAAAGGACATGCCTTTCTCGCCTCCTACCAACGACGATTCTTCAGATAAAGGGGAGCGGCACGTAGTGTCTAGACCAGGGTACAGGATCCGAATTGTGGGGAATAACAGTTCCGCCCTTTTGGGTGCTGAGCAAAACTCAGACCTCTTGTGCCTTTGGCTATGTAACTTTAATAGAAGGCAGCCTTCCTTCCTAAAGTGAGAAGGCCAGATTTGTAGAATTAGCCTTTAAATATATATGTTGTTTTTGTTAAGTGCCGTCTGAATCGGTTCGACTCATAGAGACCCTGTGTAGGGGTTCAAAGGAGCAGCTGATACGTTTGAATTACCGACCTTGTGGTTCACAGTCCAGTGTTGACCCTACAGCGCCACATAATTCTGTAACTGCATGATCGTGGTCTGATTTTACCTGCCTCTGAGAACCGCAGACTTAGCTTCAATCTGGACTGTATCTTCACTCCCCTGTGTGATGTTGGCCCAGTCCCATCGCCTGCACTCTCAGCCTCCGTATTAGTTAAGCCCACTGTTTGATTTTAAGGGCCCATCATTGAAGGTGCCGCTCTGGATATTGGGCCATATCCATCCGATATAATACTCAGAGCCTATCCTTGCTCTGAGAACTGGAAACAGCGCTCAGAGCAGGGGTCTAACCTGAAGTCTCAGAAATTATAATTTTTTTTGTTTTAATCTTTGCAGCAGGATGTGTTGTCATTTCACAGGTATCACTCAATTCTTCCGATGAGGCCGGTTTAAGCTACTTACTGTCCACTCTTCATCAAGCAGCTCTGCATTCAATAGCAAATTAAAATGCAAAGAGATGAGAAGACTCGGGAGACAGGAGGCCGGGAGAGACAGCTCTCTGTGGATTGGGTTGACTCTTCCATCCCTGGCATCCTCTACTGCACTTCAGTTAGATGCAGAAAAGAGAAACATTAATTGGGAAATCAGTGAAGTAAGCTTTAGAAAGAAACTAGATTTTTTTTTTTTAACTTTGTTTTGATTTTGTTTGCTTGCTTTTTTTAAACCAAAGTTTTAAAAAATTCAACCACTTTCCCACCTTTCTCTTGAGAAATTGTGTACGTTTCCACTGGGGATCCGAAAAATTCCAGCCTTAAGTATTTCAGAGGCTCTGCAGGCTACTTTCAGATAAACCTGAGCGTTCACATGAACTGTTTTAATAAAAGCCTTTGAGCGTGTACATTCTGGCAAGTGAAACACAGTCTCTTTTTTGAGTAGTTAAGATTTAATAGCGAAGAATGAAATCGAAGACTGCATGAAAGACACTGACATTATTATTTTAAACTTTAGCCACTGCAATATCTGTTCACAAGGACATGCAAACAGAGTTTGCTTCAAAGGAGATTTGTCTAAACCACTACTAAACAAAAGAAATATAATGCAACTCACATAGGCAGTGTTAAAATTCCTAGTAGTCACATTAATAAAATAAGCACGTGAGATTCATTTTTAAAATTTATTTGGCCCAATATCCAAAGTATTATTTTGATATATAAACATTATATTTATTGAGGTCTTGTACTTTTTTTATGACAAGTCTTCAAAATCTGGTGTGTTTTACACTTACAGCTCATTTAAATTTGGACAAGCCACATTCCAAGTGCTTGATAAATAAGCACATGTGGCTACGTTGTTGGACACCAGGTGGTTTTTCATGGCTTTGGTGTCCGGAAGGCAGCTGGAACACTCACCCCTGTTCTATGAATACTGGTTCCGATTCCAGACTCAGCCCTGTAACCCGGACTAGTCACAGAGTTTGGGTTTCTTTCATCCTTGCAGGTCTGAAATCCAAGGTGTGCAGCTAAACAGGCTGCCCAGTTAGCAGAAGCCCTCCACCCAGGGGGTTTGCCTTGGACTATTAGAGCCCCGTTGCAGAATTTTAGTGGATCAGGTGGGTTTTTGCGGCCAGCTAATATAGCTAGTGCAGGAGTAGAGCTTGGAAACCCTTTACAGGGTCGCTATGGGTCAGAACCTACTCGACTGCACTTAACAACAATGATCAAATCAGGTGGTTTTGGCAGCGTTATTAACAAGCTGTCACCTTCAGCTTAAGTGCCCTCTCCTCTAGTGTCCTCCTCATTTGTAAAATTGAGAATTCGTGACAGCTCTCTTCCCAATCCCACCCTCCGACTTCGCAGGATCCTTCTAAAGTTAAATGAGACTAAGGAAGAGAAAATCGCTTTGTAAATTGTAAAGCACCGGACATAGGAGCGAGGAATGACTTTCAAATAAGTAAGGGCTGTCTGGACCGATAAAGCGCTAAGGAGCGTAGCGGTAAAGCCCAGCAAAGGGGGGCAAAAGATGGATTGGGAAAGAGCGGGAGCCTTCGCCCCCAACCCTCTTTGTCCGTCTGGGCAAGGGCGAGACTGGGAGAAGGAGGTTTCCGGGCCAGGAGGTGACATTATGCCTAATGTCAGGGCGCTCCCGGATCGCAAGGAAGCTGCAGGGCGAAAACCGTGTGCGCAGCGGGAGGGACTGCGAGACCCGTGAGGGTGGGGACCAAGGCGTTGAAGCCAGCGACAGCTCTTATGGACTTCTCTCGGGCTGGCGACACCTAGAGATTGCGCGCCAACGGGCTCGGTAAAAGGACCCCTACATACACACACCATGACCATGAGCGCCGCCCCGGTTCAGCCACTGGAGACCCGAACGCACGTTCCGAACGCGCGACGACCAATTCCTGAAAACCTTCCACTGAAGCGTCGCGCAGGGATCCAACTCTGTGGTTGAGTGCTGTTAAGGTTTCCGAGGAGTGGCTGGTGGATTTGAACCACCGACTGACAGTCCAGTACTAATTCTACAGGGCCACGCCAGGACTCCAACTCTTGGCGTCCCCAAATCGCGGAAAGGAGCCTCCTAGTACTGGTCTGGGGATTTAGAGATGGAAGGTGCGTTTCTTTTCATTTCTTTTCTCCGACGTCTTTTTCCAGTTATGAAAACAGAAAAATAGTTCGCCCCTCTCCCGGCCCTGTGCACCCAGCGTCGTGTGCAGCCGCCCAGGGCAGTGAGTAATTGGATGCGTTCTTCCGTAATTGCCCAAGGCTCGTTAGAATTCGCCCCAAAGATGTAACATCTATTTTCTCTTACATTAACTTTACTTGCAATTAAGCCTAGGAAACCAGTAACAAAAGCAGACTTGGCCGGAGGTCTTTTTCTACAAAACTGGAGGTGGGAACCCTCTTCCCAGATTTGTTTAGAGAAAGATTCTCGCGGGGTGCGCTCGGGAAAAGAGAGGACCACCGAGGCGAAGCTGGAGCAGGAAGCCGCTCCCGGCGGTTGGCAGTGGCCTCGGTCCTTTTCATTTCGCGGACTCGGATACTGGGAGGAATTAGAAGAACCTTGTTGAAATGACTTCACACGGGTGACATGAAGCTTCTGTGGGTACTTTACCGTTGACCAAGTACATTCATGAACATAATTTCACTTACCATAGCTTTGTGAGAATTCTTTTATTAAAAAAAATGTTTTTCTTATTACAAAGCCGGTTTATCGTCATTGTGAAAAAGTAGATGAGCAAATAAGCAAAGCATTAAAGGAACTATTGTTTAGTGGGCCCCTAGAAAACAAGGTTAACGCCTCAGTGTCTTTTCTAGAGCTTTCTCTTGCCCATCCCCCACGGCCTTGTCACTGCATGGCTGTGAGATGTTGAACAAGTTCCTTCTTGCACTGGGTGGGACTCAGTTTCACCATCTGTAAAACTAGGGGCAACTAGTTTTCACCCGTTTTACGCAAAAACCTGAAACTCTCCGGCCTGACTGTGAACTCACTAACATGAGCATTTCCTGGGAGCTTATTAAACATGCAGACTCTCAGGCCCCAACCCAGACCAAATGGATCAGAATCTGCATTTCAACAAGATTCTAAGGTGAGTTCTAAGCCTGGGGAAAGAGGTAGAACTTTTGGAAAAATATAAAAGTGTTTCACGTTGTTGGTATCCACGACCCCAGATTAAATTCCTGTTTCTAACCAAGCATCCCAACACTTCCACCTACCTTGGGGCTCCCACTGGGGAAGGGCACTGTGCCTCCCCGCTCAGGTGATTGTCTTTCAAGATCTTGGAACATTCAACTGGAATGCATCTTGAAAGCTGAGGTCCAGTTAGAGCCAAGGTAGAAATCTAGGCTTCTGATTCCCGCTGAGGCACTGTCAGGACCCTGGGACCCCCAAGCAGCTGTCATTTCTCATGGTGGGGGGAGGGGGTGATAAACTTGGCTTCTGATGCCTCAGCTTTGCCCTTGAGTGTGATAGTTGGGTGTTTAGGAGAAAAAGGAGGCATTCTTCTCAAGACATAGGAAGGTCCCCTGTGTCTTAGTGAGTCTGGGCCTCGAGGACCCTCCATTAGTGCATGTTAAGTGCCCCCCTTAGACAGACCCTTGGTGTTCTAATGAATCCTCCCTCACCTCAAACACCCACACCTTTCGGGAGAACTTGGGGTTTTGTGCCCATCCTCTTCCTGGGAAGTGCTGACTAATGGGTAGGAGTTGGCATGGTAATTAACTGGACAGGTATGTCCCTGATGAGAATAAATTCAGAAAAGGAACTAGATCAGGAGGCAGGAGCCCAGAGCATGGAGGACACTCTTCCCAGGATCACACATCAACACACGGAATCACATCCCAGGGCTCACACCCATTCTCAGTACTAGAAACAAATAGGAGTATCATGGATCAAAGAAGGGATGCATGAGTTGCCCAAGATCTTATAGACCTAAATGTGCAAGCCTGGATCCGAACCCAGAGGGGAGACTGC